GAGGCCTCTGGGAGCTGAACCCGGAGCACGAGGCTTAAAGAAGTGTTTCTGAACCAAAACAGCAGCTCCAGGTCCCCCCCCCCAATAACCAGGACCAGATGTGTGCTGGCTGCGGATAACCATTCACATCTGGACTCCTCTACTGCTGTATAAACACAGAGACTTCCTGTTACCTTTATGTATGAATGAATTTTGGCGACGCTAACAATTCTGCAGCTCTTCCAAAGTGACTTGTTACATGTTTGCCTATAAATGTGCAGAACACTGTTGTTTGCTGTATGTAACATACAACACAACCTACTGTACAGTACAGTGTAGGTTGCAGCATGGTGTACAGATCGCAGTGGTCCAAAGTAAGCAATATATAGCATAGTGTATAATGTGTAAAAGACTGGAGTATGTAATGTACAGTACAGTAAAGAGAGTGCGGCAGTAAACAGTATGTGGAGTACAGCACAATGTGCCGAGTGCAGTGGCTTTGGATTGTGTAGCCTGCTCTATGGTGTACAGAATACAGTGGTCCAGAATATGTAATGCACAGCACAGTGTAAAAGAGTGGAGCAGTCCACAGTATGTGGTGTACAGTACGATGTGCAGAGTGCAGTGGTGCTGTACTGTGTAGCCTGCTCTATGGTGAAGAGAATGCACTGGTCCAGAATATGTAATGTACAGCATAGCACGTGGTGTGAAAAAAAGACTGGAGTATGTAAAGTACAGTATAATATATAACGAATGCAACAGCCAACAGTATGTGGTGTACAGCACAATGTGTAGAGTGCAGTGGTCCAGATGTACACCATAGAGAATAACGAGTCAACGTCTGGAGTATGTAAAGTACAGCACATTATCTAGAGTGCAGCAGTAGGTAATGTATAGCATAGTGTACAAAGTGCAGTAGCACTAGGTATTTACCGAACAGCAGGGTGCAGCTGCATGGCGAATGCAAAATACAGCACAGCATACACAGTGCAGTGGTTTGGAGAATAAAACCAACAGCACAGTAAATAAACTAGAGCCCCTTACGTTAATGGTCAGTGTAAAGGGGCTCTAGTCTATAGGCTGTCAATATAAATGCCACATTACTGGTGGTATTGGTGGCCAGTGGTGAATGTGCCATCTCACATTCACTATTCATGATTCACATTCACCAGCTGGCTCTGCCAGCCACACACCCCTCCTTAAGCTGCCACAGGGGACTGGACTAGTAGGTGCTCACAGATGCTGATTCCCCACCACGCAGTGAGTCATGAATACAGATGACAGTCCTGAGGCTTGCAGCAATGTCAGCTTCCATACTTTCTATAATGACAGGGTCCCTTTAAAGCCAGTTGGGTCTTGGCACCACGGCAAAGCCATCCCCCTGCCGTCTGCAGCTCTTCACCCCCATAGGGTCGGCACATCTTACGACTCAGCATAATTGGCAACAGGTGGGCTAATTATTGGCTTGGTCCTTTCAGCTGCCTCAGAGATATTTCTGGAACTCCTGCCTTTAATTTACAGAATAAATGGACAGATGAAAGTTACGCTCACATTTTGTTAATGTTTCGCAGCGCCGCCTTTAGAAGGAATAGACGGAAATATATTCAGCGGCCAGAAAAAGAGAAACTCTGCAAAAGACGTGCACCTTACCATCGCCTTTGTTTAAAGTGGACCTGACTCCAAAAGGGAAGAATTACCTTGGTATGAGCAGGGGTAGGCAACCTTGGCTCTCCAGCTGTGCTGAAACTACAAATCCCATGATGCTTCTGCCTCTGGGAGTCATGCCTGTGGCTTGCAATGCCTTATGGGATTTGTAGTTTCAGCACAGCTGGAGAGCCGAGGTTGCCTACCCCTGGTATAGTGAATGTCTAGAAATGTTAATTGTGCTGAGGCGGTACCCTGAAAAATGTACTGTTTGCCTTCCATTCCTCCGGAAAAATGCCAGTGCACTTCCTGTTCCTAGATACCTTTTGTTCTCTAGCCTCATAGCTGTTTATCTGCAATGTGAGAGCTAAGGCACTGCTGCCCCGACTGCTAGTCTCAGAGGATTTGGAGTGAGATTTCGTAATGTTACTGATGTGCTGCTCACTGATCTCCTTGCTGGAGCGGAAGCTGCACCTGTGTACTTACAGTGCAAGGATCCCCCTGCTTCTTCTTCATTCACTCTTTGGATCTGTGGGTGTTTTTTCACCTCTCCTGCTTCTAGGTCACTACCCCATCAATCATCAGATCACCATCCAGTAAAGCAGCTCTGACATAAGGAAGTAAAGTCCTGATCTTCCAATATTGTTGGTATCCACCCTGCTGGCTGATTGACAGCTTGCTCTGCCTCTCTAGAAGCAGAGCCAGCTGTGCCCGCCTCCTCTCCTATCCATCCCTCCAGTCAGCGCTGGAGGATCGGAGAGGGGAATCTCTGTGGGGAGCGGTGACCGACAGTCACGGCTCTCCGCAGGGAGATGATCAGGAACTCCGTGGTTCACCGAGTTCATGATCAGTAGTGCCGACCTGTGACAGCTTCAGTGTCACAAGTCGGCTTGAATTATGGGGATGAGTGTTTTTCACTCGCCCCATAATTCTCCATTAAAGTGACACTTAACTCCAGAGTTAAACCTTAAAAATGCCATCAAGTACCCTAACTATTAACAAAAATGTTTCTTATTTGTGTATCACACGGCTGTAGATCCTCAAATCATCTCTGAATTGGTGCTGACACTGCCCTTCCTTCTGGAGGGTGGCTACTTGTGCTCCCCATGGTCCCTGTGTGTTGTAAAGTAGTCACCGCTCCAAGCTTACTCCCGTGATGGACGACAATCTCAATAAATTTACATATCAGTAAACTAAACATGAACTTGTAGTCTATCACAGGAGTAAGCTTGGAGCGTTGGTTGCTTTACAACGCACACAGGGACCATGGGGAACAAGTTATTTTGGTTATATTGGCTTATCCTGGAGATCAGCTGGTGAGTCAAGGAAAACACTTGATCTTTTTAGTGGCCTAGTGTCCCATTGATGTCATAATGCTGAATCAGTAGGGACAGTGGGTATAATTGTTGCAAGTTCTTGAGCTGATGACAGACGAGGTCACTCAGCTGTCCCTGTAGACAGAGCCGACGCTTCTGTTCCTAATGTTCAGTTGCCAACATAGAAGCCAGACAGGGACTCCCGTCTCTTGTCCACAGATACAGCTTGATGTCCTGTGGGGCATAGGTAGGAGGGCCACAAGTCACCTTTACACCCAAAGCAGATCATAAACCCGCAAGGTGGTCTACCAAAGCTGCACACTTCTGCTCCAGCAAAGTGCAGTTTGCATCTGCTGAAACATGTTGCAAAGCTGACCTATGTCTATTGTAGGTCCCCAATCCCGTTTAGCTGGCTGCTATGTGGGTGAGCAGTTGATTGGACAGGTTAAAAAATTAAATCACCAATGTTCCTGCCAAGATAAGCAGCGGCTGGGTGTACATGGCCACATAGTGTGGGGAGGAGGGGCGATTATAGGGGCGTGGTTAAAGCAGAACTCCAGAATATGCAAAAAAATGTACCCTTGCAGTGGGGCTACCCCACTGCAAGGGTTAATTTTGGTCTAGGGCCTTGGTTCTCAACTGGTGGGTCGCCGCATGTCTTCCACTTTTCTAGATGAGAGGCTCCTCTGCTTCCCCCTAGTGCAGCGCTGTCAGTTCTCATGCCAAGCAGCCATTCAAAATATGCTGCCCAGTGCTTTATGTCAGATTGAGGTTGGGTGGGCTAGGGGTGTGGCCGCGAGGAAGCTCCATACATACGTGAATTGCTTACAGCTCCCTCATGTCCTGTAGAGGTGCCTGGACCGGAGTGACATCACATGAGGGCTCCTGGCACCTCTACAGGGCACGCAAGGGAGCTGTACAAGCAATGCATGTATGGATGGAGCTCCGTCACAGTACAGCAGTCCACACTGGACCCAAGATGAGGATCCACTCCAGTTCTCGTAAGGTAGGGAGACTGAGTGGTGTTGTTGAGGGCCCGTTCACACTAGTACAGTGCGTTAATCCCACTTACCTTGCATTCTGGTGTGGGAGGTGTGTTGGGTTGCCGTTCATTTGAATGGTACCCCAAACGCACCTCCCAGCCACAGCTTGTATGCCCGCACTGGAACGCACGGTACCCTAATTTTGTGCATGCCATTGCAGTGCGACTTGGTTCGCGACTTAATGACCAAGAACAAATGTGGGTCCTGAAGTTACACTGGTTGAGAACCACTGATCTAGGGGATGGATTAAAAGGTGACATATGGAGACCTAATGTCACCTAGGGACCCCAAAGAAGCTGATGAAGCACAGATTGTACTTCAGCAGCTTCTTCTCTGGCTACAGCAGCAGGAGAAATGACAACCTGAACCTGGAATGATGTAATACACATGGCTTCCGTTTTCAGTGATCGGAGGGAGGATCAGCCAATCAATGTACACAGACCCGTCATGCCAGTCCTGGACCCGCACGACGGAAAGAGGATCCCTGGTAGCTGTGGCAGAGGAGGAGGGCCCAAACCTTTCCAGCGTCGTACAAGCGATCGGGCGGCTTTATAGTTGCCCAAACACTTGTATGTAACAACCATCGCAGCTGTAAAAAATTTAGTGTCCCGATCCCATTTAGATGGTGCGCAGAAGCAGGAAAAGACATTTAAAGACATCCACCGGCCTTCAAGCGCGAGCCGTCCAGCTGTTAAATTATAATAGGCGGACAGCAAGCGGTTAAGGAGAACGTATAAATCTACAAACCCACCTACAACAAAAAGGTAGAATAAGATTATATATTTTTTTAAAAGACACACAATGACACCGAAAGAGAAATATTCACCCTTTACTGGTAAAAGTAAATCATTTACATGTATATACAAAAAGGTTCAGCTATGAAAGTAGCGATCAGCAAGTGAGGTATTCGGTCCACAATAAAAGCAATGCTCAGTTTATCTTCATTTCAACCCATAAAGTCACAGAAGAACATTCAAGAGAAGATACCGCAATAAAATTTCACTGGTCAGCTCGACCTCAGGGTCTGTGATGTCACCATTAGTCCTGGATGCCGCATTTCAGATTGGCCGGGACGGCAACATCTGAGCAAAAAGAAAAAAAAAACAAGGAACACATTGTAGAAGGTGCATACAATGAAAAGTAAAGTGAAATTCCGCATACAACTGACATACATATTGGTGAACCGGGAAAGTGTTAGTTTGTTCTAAATGACCGCTAATCTCATGACGCCACCATGTGGTTGAATTGTGTTATTACAATACGGCAAAACTTTTCCGGCTTAGCACAATGCCTGAAGACAATTGTATCTGCCAGGTAGTGATTACGCCGGCCCCTACTTGCCAGATAAGTTTCTTAGGGATTTGGTAATATCTCCTCATTTTGTAGAGATTTTATCTTATCTACTCCCCGGGAGAGAAAGTGTAGGGAAATCTCCCCAATGGGACGGCAAGAAAAACTCGACTGACAGCATTTTGAATCCTTCCCTTATCAAAATCTAAAAAAAAAAATGGCTATGCATACACTTTAAATTTCCTACATAACATGTATGGGTAGGCAATGATGCATTGCAAGTCCCATGACTTTTATGTAAGCTTCGTATAGAACAGGAGTTGGCAATCTCAGCACTCCAGCTGTTGTGGAACTACAAGCCCCATGATGCATTGCAAGAGCGACAACCACACGCATGACTCCCAGAGGCATGAGCATGATGGGATTTGTACTTTCACTACAGTTGGAGTACCGAGGTTGTGTTCTATCGAAAGGTCTGACTTGTCGAGTTCTCTGACTGGTGACATCACATCCGGTGACTGCCAGGAGGACATCTATACCAGATGGAGCTAGTGCGCATGGCCATGGAATCCTTTTCGAAATCTCTAACTATTGCCACTGCGCCTGCGTGGCGCCATCAAATTCTATAACCACACTCGGCACTGCTATTGGCTTCTATAACGTAGAACAAATATAGCTTTGTACTACAGGTGAAACTCGAATAATTAGAATATCGTGCAAAGTTCATTTATTTCACTAATGCAACTTAAAAGGTGAAACTAATATATGAGATAGACTCATTACATGCAAAGCAAGATAATTCAAGCCGTGATTTGTCATAATTGTGATGATTATGGCTTACAGCTCGTGAAAACCCCAAGAACCCCAAATCCACAACCTCAAAAAAGTAGATTATTACATGCAATCAATAAAACAAGGATTGTACATAGAACAATATCGACCTCTGAAAAGTACAAGCATGCATATGTACTCAGTACTTGGTTTGGGCCCCTTTTGCAGCACTTACTGCAATTACTTTTGCACAATATTCTAATTATTCGAGTTTCACCTGTAGGTTATAGAATCCGATGAGCTTATAGTCACAGTCACAACCGCGCCTGCGCGGCTATAGGCTCTTATAACCTACGGCAAATATAACTTTGTACTAGGGCTGTTACTGATTACAATTTTCGTGTTCGATTAATCGAAAATGTCTCTATAATGACTTTGTATTACTAGTACTTTCATGAGGACAGTAATTAAAACAGCCTTCTATCATACAGGGAACTACAAGTCCCAGCTGAACTGCCGACTTGTAGTTTCCTAGTAGTACAATGACATTATAGAACATGGAATAGAATATAGTCAGTTTCAGCCATATTCTATTCCATGTTCTATAGATTGAGCAGGGTGCTGTAAAAAAAACAAAACATACCAGCGTGGGGGGACAGCGGCCGGGAACATCGAGGTGGGTCTCTGTATCAGGTGGCTGCTGCTGGGTCCTCACAGCTGAGGTAACGAAGGGAAGGGGGAGGAGTCCGGTGACATCACGGACATCGACGTCAACGGACTCCTCCCTCCTTCCCTTCGTTACCCAACACGGTCAACTACATCACCCGACTCCTCCCCCCTTCCCTTCGTTAACCGACAGAGCCACTGGGGAAGGGGGGAGGAGTCCGGTGACGTCGATGTCCGTGACGTCACCGGATCTCCGACGGAAGCCGGCGGAGAGGTGAGTACTTTCATCGATCAAGAAGATTAACGATTAATCGAGAAATTAATCGTTAATTTGCACAGCCCTACTTTGTACTAGGTTATAGAATCCGATGAGCCGATAGCAGCGCAGGCGCAGTGTCAATAGTTATAGAATTCAGCAACAATTCCATGGCCATGCGCACTAGCTCTATCTGGTGTAGATCTCCTACTGGCACTCACCGGATGCCACATCACCAGTTGGAGAGCTCTTCAAGTTGGAACTTTCCATAGAATAGTTGCCTACCCCTGCGGAAGTGATAACACATTGAACCACAGTGACATCTTGCGGTAGGTGCTAGTATTGCACATACAACACAAATTGTTCCGTGTTGGCAGAGGACCCTTTAGAGAAATCCGGGCATTTTAAAAATGTTCCTTTACAGTGGGGCTACCCCTGCACTGCAAGGGTTAAGTGCTCTTTTTTCTCTAGGCGATGGAATAAAGAAGATACACTCACCTGAGTCCTGCGTCTGTCAGCACTCCCTTCTCTCCCCACTGCGCTCTGGCTGTGGAATGTCTCTCGGTGTCCTCATGTCTAATGCAAGTCAATGGACCTGCATTAAATGTGATGACGTCAGCAGTCCTTAGAGCGCCAGAGTCCGGCGGGGGGGAGGGGGGGGGGAGAAGACGATGCAGAGATCAGTCTAGCAGGAGCCAGCCGGACCGAGGATCAGGTGAGTAAATCTACTTTGAGTCCCTTAGACAAAACGAGCACTTAACCCTTGCAGTATAGGGGTAGCCCCAATGCAAGGTTAAGTTTTTGATTTTCCTGGAGTTCTTCTTTAAAGTGAACCTGCGCCCAGACTATAAATCACTAAAGTATTTATATATTCTGAATAAGCAGTAAAATCACTTTAACACAAGTCCCCATTCACCCCTCTAGCTGCAGGCTTTCTGGAGAAAATCCTCTTCAAATGTCACAACAGAAGCAATGAAATATCCCGATTACTTTCTATTGCTGCGGAATCTTGTCAGGCTTCCAGCCCTCTAATGTGAGTGAGTTCCAGACCTTATCCCCTCTTACTGTAAGGAACCCTCTTCGCTCCTTGTGCTGGAATTTTTTCTCCACCAACTTTAGGTGGTGGCCTCTAGTCTTTGTAATGGAGTTAATCTCAAACAGTTTGTTGCCGATGTTGCTGTCACCATTGAACATCTTGTACATGAAAATCATATCCCCCCTTAATCTCCTTAATTCCAGCGTAAACATGTTTAAGGTCAGAAGCCTTGTCTCATAGCTCTGGTCCTCCATTCCCCTAATTAGTTTTGTTACCCTCCGCTGGACTCTCTCCAGTTCAAGGACATCCCTTCTCAGTACCGGCGACCAAAACTGGACCGCGTACTCCAGATGAGGCCGAACTAACGATCTATATAGAGGCACAATTATAGACTTGTCCGTGCAATACATCCCCTTCCTAATACAGGACAAGACCCTGCTAGCTTTGTTTACCGCAGCCTGGCACTGCAAGCTACCATTCAGTTTGTGGTCTACAATGACCCCCAAATCTTTTTCTATTTCTGACTTCCCTAGCAGCATACCCATGAGGGTATAACCCATTTGTTTATTTTTATGTCCAAAGTGCATTACTTTGCATTTATCGACATTAAACCTCATCTGCCATAGTATTGCCCACTCCCCTATTTTATCCAGGTCCTCCTGCAATGTTACATTGTCACGATCAGTTTCTAATACCCTCCCTATTTTTGTATCGTCCGCAAACACGGAAACATGATCTTTGAAAATGAATTATTGTGAATTGTGATCTTTGAAAATGAATTACTTCACAGTACAAGCAGCTAGAGAGGTCAGTGAGGACTAGTTTTGAAGCACTTCACTGCTTGTTAGGAATATTTAAACACCTAATAGTCTTAGCACATGTGCACTTTGACCATGGCACGTCTCATGATCACTAAAACCTTCATCACTAGAGGAACCAATGTGTCTATGCTGGTGTGAGCCTGAATTATGGCAAGGTTGAACCCTTTAGTTGCCGGTGCCATATCCCTTACAGCGCTGGCTTAGGGCTCCTGTAAAGCAGACTCCCGGCGGCACTCTGTTTAAAGCTGACTAGGCTTTCCACTGGAAGCGACTCTGGCGGTTGAGCTGCCACCAGATCTCCTCCATGGGCCGGTGATACCTGCCTGATACCCCCCGCATTGTTTGCTAGGCTCCACTGCCCCTCCCGCAGGCTTAGGACCAGCATTACGCAAGGTCAGCGGGTAGCAGGGAGAGAGACCAGCAAACATCTGTTCACCAACCCCTCCCTACTGATTGTAACCAGAAGTGCATCACTTCCAGATTATGAGCTGTCATTCCCTGGCTAGAGAAGCCAGGAAGAAGATATTCAAGCACAATCTGCGCTCGATCAGCTTCAATTAAGTGCAAAGGTGACATCAGAGGTCTAACAGACCCCTAAAGTCACCTTAAAGAGGTCCTGTCACCTCCAGGCTTGTGAGCTGCCCTTTGTGATAAGTAATTTTCAGGACTAAAAATGCAGTTTAGAACATGTGCAACAACGTTGCTGGCAGCGAAAGGGTTAAAAGATGATCCTCGACGAGCCCGGGTAGGTCAGCGATGCCAGTACAAATGGGCTTTATGCAGCAGTGGAATGCCTGAGCTTGCTCTCACCTATCTGGGCCGGTCTGGCCAGGTTCAGGTTATTCATGATCTTGACGAATTCAGCCTCGCTCTTGGTCAGTCGGGGGTTCAGTCTTTTCTCCTCCCCCACTGTGGTCACCGTCTGACCTGTAAGAAGAAGAAAGTAAATTAGAAGCTGCTTCCGCAACCAATGGCTGTACGGCTTTCGCCATCTTTAAGTGGACCTGTCACAAAATCAATGCCCGTCCCCTGAAAACCATCAGGTCTACCACCTGCAGTGATCACCTCCTGGACCCACCAATCAGGGACAGCCCTCCGGTCTGTGATGTCAGGCCCACCAATCAGGGACAGGCCTCAGGTCTGTGATGTCAGGCCCACCAATCAGGGACAGGCCTCCGGTTTGTGATGTCAGGCCCTTCTCCTCCTGGCCAGCCCTACCAATTATGGACAGGCCTCTGTGATGTCAGGTCCTTCTCCTTCTGGACAAGCCCACCAATCAGAAACAGGCCTCCAGTCTGTGATGTCAGACCCTTCTTTACCTGGACATGCCCACCAATCAGAAACAGGCCTCAGGTCTTTGATGTCAGGCCCTTCTCTTCCTAGGCAGCCCCACCAATCAGGGACAGGTCTCCAGTCTGTGATGTCAGGTCCTTCTGCTCCTGGATAAGCCCAACAATCAGGGACAGGTCTCCAGTCTGTGATGTCAGGTGCTACTGCCCCTAGACAGCCCCACCAATCAGGGACAGGTCTCCAGTCTGTGATGTCAGGTGCTTCTGCCCCTGGACAGCCCCACCAATCAGGAACAGGCCTCGGGTCTGTGATGTCAGGCCCTTCTCTTCCTAGGCAGCCTCACCAATCAGTGACAGGTCTCCAGTCTGTGATGTCAGGTCCTTCTGCTCCTGGACAAGCCCACCAATCAGGGACAGGCCTCCAGTCTGTGATGTCAGGCGCTTCTTCTTACCATGCCATGCAAAATTAAAGCTGAATTCCAGGTAAAGGTTAATGCAGCTTTGTAACTAATACATCATATATACAGGTAAAACAGCTCTGACTAGTCTGACTTTTTCAAGGTTCATCAGTGCAGGACGGTTGCCTTTTGGATGCATTCGTAACTCTGTAACCTGCAAATGACAATGAAATGCATGCATACGTCTACAGAAGTAGGTACCAAAAAAATCCAGACTCACCTGTGTAGTCATGAGCCGGGTACAAGAAGCAGCTGTCAGGCAGACTTAGAATTTTGCTGTGTACAGAATTATACAGAGTGTTTGGGCAACCTGCGGACACAACACATTGGGAGATGAACGGGTGCAGAGGCCATAATGGACTTAAAGCTGAAGTTTAATCTGCTTATATTATGCCTGCCCTGCTTCCTGACCTACCTTGCTGGAAGTCCGTGCGGCCGCAGCCTCGGATGAGCAGAGCATCCCCAGTGAAGGCCATGCTTTTATCATTCAGCACATAGGTAAGGCAGCCGTCAGTGTGGCCTGGGGTGGACCGAGCCTCCAGGGACTGCAAGGGAAGGAGAACATGTAAAAGCATTTTTCACATTGGCTTCAAGTAAGCACATATATTTAGAACAGCCACTAGATGGCAGTGCAGAGCAAAGCAGGGGTAGGCAATGTTCGGCACTGCAGCTGTGGTGAAACTACAACTCCCTTCATGCCTCTGCCAGAGTCTTGCAATGCATCATGGGACTTGTAGTTCCACAACAGCTGGGGTGCCAAGGTTGCCTACCCCTGCAGCAGTGAGAAGTTGTTGTCTGGTATTTCAAAGTATTAATAAGGTCATCACCCCTTCCCCCTGTTAGCAGGCTCTCAGCATTAGAAGGAGCATCGGAACGCTAATGAGGTCATCACTCCTTTTGTAAAGCGCTGCGCAAACTGTTGGCGCTATATAAAAATACTATGTAATAATAATAATAATAATCAGAACACTAATGAGGTCATCACTCCTCCCCCTGTTATCAGGCTCCCAGCATTAGAAGGAGCATCAGAACACTAATGAGGTCATTACTCCTCCCCCTGTTATCAGGCTCCCAGCATTAGAAGGAGCATCAGAACACTAATGAGGTCATTACTCCTCCCCCTGTTAGAAGGCTTCTAGCGTTAGAAGGAGCATTGGCATGCCAATGAGGTTATCACTTTTTCCTCCTGTTAGCAGGCTCCCAGCGTTAAACTGAGCACAGGCACATGCTGAGGTCATCACTCCTCCCCCTGTTAGCAAGCTGCCAGCATTAGAAGGAGCATCGGTACACTAATGAGGTCATCACTCCTTCTCCTGGTAGCAAGCTTCCAGCGTTAGACTAAACACAGGAATACTAATGAGGTTATCACCCCTTCTCCCTGTTAGCAAGCTTCCAGTGTTAGAAGGAGCATTGGCACAATAATGAGGCCATCAGTCCTTCCCCCTGCTAGTAGGCTCCCGGTGTTAGAAGGAGCATCAGCACGCTAATGAGGTCATCACTCCTCCCCCTGCTAGCAGGCTCCCAGTGTTAGAAGGAGCATCAGCACGCTAATGAGGTCATTACCCTTTCCCCGTTAGCAAGCTTCCAGTGTTAGACGGAGTATCGGCACACCTATGAGGTCATCACTCCTCCCCCTGCTAGCAGGCTCCCAGCGTTAGGAGCATTGGCACGCTGAGGTCATCACTCTTCCCCCTGTTAGCAAGCTTCCAGCGTTAGAGTGGGCACACCGATTAATGCAGCAGTGCCTCACAGTGCTGCCCCTCCTTCTAGCCTAAGTCGCACCCTGCGGGAGGTTAAAAGGAAGTGAATATAAAGTCAGAATCACTCACTAATACTGGCTCATGATGACCAAAGGACAATCTTTAACTCCCTCCCTGCCAGTCCACTTTTGTTCAGCTTTATCAGCTTTTGATTGAATCCCTTTTATAACATTCGATACTCACAAACTTCCCAAACTCGATGACATCGCCCTCCTGGATGTGCACGTCAGCGAGGGCCCCGCTGTCCTTGGAAATTACGCTTTTACAACCGGGCAGCAGCTTTTTCAGGGCTCCGGTGCCGGTAATGTGATCGGCGTGGCAGTGAGTGTTGGCTGGAGGAACACAAACACACATACAGAGGTCAGCCGAAAATATAAAAGGAGGATCTCAGATGGCAGATGATATCAGCGCCGCTCTCCGCATTATAATACTGGGACTGAAGGGCACTGTGGGGACGCCCAGGCAAGGGGCAGACCCATGACACCTTGCACTCACAGTATATCCTCAGTCTTCTAGGCTTAAAGAAGCTGGGCATCATTCAAACTGGAAGACTGAGGACATCTTGTGGAGATAAAGAGGTACTGCAGGGTTCAACCAGAGCAAGTCGGGTCTTCTAAGAGCTGGTCGGGTGGCAGAGAAGGCCAGTCCCCGAAGTGTCTGTCCGGCAGTGGAGGAGGCCAGGGACCAAACAGCACTGGTTCAGCGATGGAAAAGGCCAGGTCCAGCAGCAGGCGGCTCAAGCTGACAGCCGATGTCATCAGGAGGCAGGCTGGGGAGCTGCAGGTAAGAGGGTCACATTGCGCTACTAAAGGGACCCTACAGAGCCAGCATAGATTCTGTACAGCCCATCTGAGAGTCTCAGGTGGGCTCTGCAGGGTTTCAGGAGGGCTGTGCAGGATCTGTGTTGGGCTTTGCAGGATCTGTGGTGGGGGTCTCGGGGGGGGGGGGAAGCGGTGACGAAGCGG